CCAAATGGCCCTTTGATTATCGCACCCACCTTTGTCTCTCTCTCTCCCTCTCTCCTTCTCTCTCTCTCTCTCTCTCTCTCGCACATAAATACTTTTTTTTTTTTTTTTTAATATTGCACAAGAGTGAGCTGAAATCCTTCAGGCTTTACTATTAAATTTGGTTACTGTTAATAATTCAATTATTAATAAAAATTCCAAATTGATAGTTAAGTGAATTTTATGAGACTGATATGTTTAATTGGCTATCATTTTCCCTTTTCGGGAAATGGTGCTCCATGACGTGATTTAATGTAAATTAAGTCATATCATTTAACATTTCTGATAGCCAATTTGGTACTTTCATTGGTGGTCTATTACAAGGTCAGGCCCATGTTGAGGCTTAAGTAACAACAAATAGTGCTGCAGTGTAAAACATAGCACTGGTGCCTAGATCACAACAAATAGTATCCCTGCTTTTATAGTATCACCAGTATAAATTACAACATTAATAATGCCCCCCCATGAGGGCCAGAATTGTTCCCTACATTAATGGTTCCCCTTGGTGAGGCCTAATATTGTTGTTCCCAACAACAGTAAAGTAATTTTCTGGACTTACCAGACTGTTCTAGCTGTTTTGTCTTTTTTTTTTTTTTTTTTTTTTTGTTCTTGCACAATTAGTCATTAAAACTATATTACTGATAATCATTTATAGAAAAGGTCATTGCATCAATATTTTGTCCAAGTACCAACAGTCAACCCCACAGTATCGTTCAATCAATAGTTAATTTATTTAACTCAAACAACTAAGCACAGTAAATAACTGATGGCATGTGCAAGTAGGAAGGGTATCAGTCATGTAAGGCATGTGTGGATGAGTGAAACATGGTGTAATGTGTGTTGTAAGGTGCAGTATACCAAACAAAGGAAAGAGGCTGAAAAGGCTACAGCAGGCCAAGCTGGAAGAGTGTGTGACCAAAAGGGTGGTCCTTTATGCCCTCTGCAGGCCCAACCAAAAGGGCAGGTACCAGAAGGCACTCCCTCCCAGCTCCGCCTACCGGCCAACTCCCAATAACTGCAAGAGCGAGAGCACAGTCAGACACGGGTTTTGAATAAGTTGAAAATCTCAACTCAGGCTTAAGAGAAATTCTAATAGGCATTTTTCACTATATTCTAACAATTTATCGACTGGCTGATTAATGGATGGGCGGCACGGTGGTGTGGAGGTTAGCACTGTCGTCTTACAGCAAGAGGGTTGCTGGTTCGATTCCGGCTGCGGGAGCCCCTCTGTGCGGAGTTTGCATGTTCTTCCTGTGTCAGCATGGGTTTTCTCCAGGTACTCTGGCTTCCTCCCACAGTCCAAAGACATACAGACTGGGGATAGGTTAATTGGTGACTCTAAATTGTCCATAGGTGTGAATGGTTGTCTGTCTCTATGTGTCAGTCCTGCGATAGTCTGGCAACCTGTCCAGGATGTACCCTGCCTCTTGCCCAGTGTCAGCTGGGACAGGCTCACCTGAATGATTAAGTCATTATTAACATAGCTGCCAATTACTTTTCTTAATATAGAATTTGTTTAATGACTTATTGATGAATCAACTAATAGTTTAAACCCTACATTAAACAATAATGAAAATAACTGTTGTTAGTTGTAGAAGAACTAAGAACATGCTTGACTGACTATAGCTGCAGACTGCATCCTCATCATCACCTGTCATTGAAAAATGCTTTTCTGTCAGGGCCGTTGTTAGGGCCTGGGCGTCTGAGGCTTCAGCCCTGAATGATTTTATGAATAGCCCCGGATCTAACAAGCTGGGTAGTCACGTGCTAACCACTAACATTCAGCACAGTGTTCAATCTGCTCCTCATGACTGACTGTTTACATGACACAACCCCTCCACGGAAACTCTACCTCTACCTGCGCCAGTAGTGGCACCTCAGAGTACTGTTCCCCCTGCCAGCTCCCCCTACCGGCCTCATTTGTCACTAACACTCTCACCAGAAACATTCCCAATAGAGACCAAGGTGCAGAGCATCCTGTCCACACAGCAAACCTCGAGATAACAATAAGATCCTGCACCCTATTCACTGTGTGCCCGTTTCTCCTCTCTCTGCTCTGTCTCCTTACAAGTTTGGCCTCCTGAATGTGATATCTCTTTGCAACAGGTCTTTTATAACTAATGATTTTATTGTTTCAAATGATTTTCACTTTTTATGATTACTGAGACATGGCTGTCCCCTGGGGACATTGTCCCCCTGATTGACACCAATCCCCCTGACTTTGCTTATTTTCATATCTCCAGACCATCTAAAAGAGGGGGTGGCCTAGCTGTTTTTTATAAGTTAGGCCTCAGCAAGTGCCATCCTGTTACTTTTGGTAATTATAACTCCTTTGAAGTTTTAAGTTTTTTAATCCCCCCCCCCCCCTTACTCTGCATTTTAATTTACAGGCCACCTACATCAGTTGATTTTATCTCTGAGTTTTCTGAGCTTTTGTCAATTGTCACACCAAGATATGACAAGGTGTAATTTTAATATGCATGTATGCTGCTGTCCCTCCCATTCCCTCACCTCCACCTTTTTAGATCTTTAGTCTTTTAACCTTGTGCAATCTGTCAGAGGAGACACACATTCTAAAGGTCATACTTTAGACCTGGTACTCTCATCTGGGTTCTCACTCAATGTCATAATTTGGTGGACTTGCCTGTCACTGATCATAAAGCTGTTGTTTTTAAAGTCCCACTAAAGCTCTCCATTTCCACTCCCTGCTCTACAATTTGCTCTCGCATTTTTAACTCTGGTTCTGCAGCGAAATTCTGCAATGCTTATAATTCTTGTCATTTTAACTATGCTATACCTCCTCCCAATCCCGATGCACTGCTAAAGTCATTCAGTGGTCAGTGCCTAGCCATCCTTGACCAAATTGTCACATTTAAATCCAGGAAACTAAAATCAAAAAATTTCCCCTGGCCGAATGATCACACTCGAGCCCTTAAAAGACTCTATAGAAAGTCGAACGACAATGGAAGGCCAATAAGTCAGAAATAACACATACAACCCTTAAAAATCACATGCTCAGTTATCAGAAAGCAGTTAAAGATGCAAGATCTGCCTATTTCTCCAGGCTAATCTCAAGTAACAACCATAATCCTAAAGTCCTCTTTAAGGTTATTAATTGTGTTGTTACTGGTCCTTCTTCTTTCCCTGAGCCAGATGCTGAGCTGCCTGAGAAATTTCTTTCCCATTTTGTAAATAACATGGAGAACATCAAGTCTCATATCCAGCCTGACCCTTGCTCGATTTCTCTTCCTCATGTCAGTTCAGCCTCTGTCCCTCAGTTTCCACCTGTTACAATCTCTTAGTTAGAGTATACAGTCTCCCACATGAACTCCTCCTCCAGTACCCTTGATACCATCCCAACAATTCCTTGGTTTCTGGCTCATTCCCTGACAGCTTTAAGCAAGCCATTATTCACCCGCTATTAAATAACTTCAACCGGACCCCCGTCCTTCAGGAACTATAGGCCAATTTTCAAATTGTCCTTCTTGTCCAAAGTTCAGGAGAAAGTAATTTCCTCACAACTTTTAACAAATTTCAGTCAGGTTTTAGAGAACTTCATAGTACTGAGACAGCCCTTGTTAAGGTTACTAACGACCGTTTGCTTGCTACAGACAGAAGTGACACCTCAGTTTTAGTTCTTTTAGATTTAAGTGCCGCTTTTGACACTGTCGACCATTGAATTCTTCTGCACTACCTAGAGACTTGGGTTGATTATATTTTGTATTATCAATCTAAGTTTTTAAAGTAACTAAAGCAGACAAATAAATGTGGTGGAATTAAAAAAAAAATACGTTTCCCTGAGATGTGTAGAAGTATAAAGCAGCATTAAATGGAAGTACAAGCTCTCAAAATTTTCCTAATTTTAATGATAGCAGTTGCAAAGTAAGCTATTTCTGCTCAATACCTAACAACTACTAATATTTTTAACATCACAATTCATAATTAATCTGAAGAATGAGATTTAAAGGAAAAAGGATGCCATAGTGCATTTTTTTAAAAGCATCCAAATAGAACTTGATCATAAAAAAATTCCCAAGGGAGGAAACACCCCCCCCCCACCCCCCCCCCCCCCCCCCCCCCCCCCCCCCCCCCACCCCCCCACCCCCCACCCCCCTCAGAACACCACCACCCCAGCACAGAGGTGCAGGCTAAGCCCCCAGATGTCCTCAAATCTTAGAACCATCTCTGGCCTCTGTTATTTTGTCCCATTTTTTTAAAAATACATCCAATTAAAATGACACAGCCAAAATAAATATCAAATATGTATCAATAAAACATTTCAGCCTCTTCAAAGTAGCTCTTTGAGTGGTTATTTCATTGCTGTACAAGAGTTACAGTGAGCATTCACCTTTTTTAGGTATTTCAAGTTAAATCAGTTGTCATGCGTGTGCTCATCTTTGATTATGTTGTATTACAGGATCAGCTCAGCAGATAGGATGGATGAATGAGACTTAATTGAATATGACCATAATGATCTTAATGCCATGTTATCAGGTATTATATGTTCAGCAATGTGATCAACTGGACACCACAGAAAAATCCTGTCTCCTATAGAAACATGTATGATGCTATAAGATTTACAAGATTTTATAAGGTTTACATATTGAGCAGTTGTGTGTGTCGTCATTAGTGATACCACCGTGATGACCGAGCACAGAATATATGCAAGAGTCCAAATAATCCCGCAAGGTCACTATCCTGTCATCACTGAGAAGCCTACAACACATTTTAAGAATATTACATAATACCGATGGAGATTAAAATCAAACAATACCATAAAATCCGATACGTCACAATGTACCCAGCGGGCCTACTAAGCACCGCTGAGCACCGCACGCGCTCCATAGCCCATATAGGGATGCTGAAGGCTGGTAATTTTCCTTCACACAACCTCTTGGACAGCACGGAGCCATCCGTTATTTAACCGGCAGCCGCATTCCAGCCGTCGGCTCTGCGGGTCTTACCGCGGATGATGGCCGACGGTGGTGTCCTTGGTGTCGGTGGTCGGAGGAGACAGGATGGTAGACGGTACCACGGCTGATGCACGAGCTGCACAGTTCCGGTGATGAATGAAAGACAGACAAACCGGCTCTGTCGGTGATACACTGGAGACTTAACACGAACCACAAGCCCCGCCTCTCCCAGTTTCCTACGTCAAGCCTCCGTACTGGACTCACTGGAGCGGCTCAGCATCACCGCAGCCCTCCCCCCTCAGCTATCCGCGTGTGTGTGTGTGTGTGTGTGTGTGTCAGTATCAAAGGGACGTGCAAAGACTTCCAAGGAGCATAAGCGGTTGGGTAGCACACCTCATTTCTCCCCTTTTCCAGTAATTTAGAAGTGTTGTCTTTTTTTTTTTAAGTGGATCAAAATGTCATCAGATCTACTAAAATAAACTGAAGCATGATACACTTACAGCCTACTAGGCTATAAATAACATCCTATCAAAACATCAGTATAGATATCAGAAGAAACACAACCAAATTACCCTTTTTCTGACCTGAGGAACAAAAAAAAAAGTTCACTTGCTGTATTTATTTTTAGACCCGTCAAAAGCAGCTGATTGTGATGTTCTTATCTCTAAGCTTCAAAGATATGGATTTCAGGATGTTATTCTCAAATTATTTGTTAGCTATATTTGACATAGAGCAATAATTGTTTCTTGGTGAGGTGCTGCAGGGATCTATTCTGGGCCCAATGCTTTTTGAGCTTTATGTCATTAAGCTGCCTATTGCCAGTGTTTTTTACTGTTCTTTGTTGATACTACAAATCCTCCAGCTTCACATGAATGTTTTAGTAGTGGTGATGGTGGTAGTGGCCTGTAAAAGATTCAGATCCAAAGCACAGCTGATTAACTGTTTATACATGGGGTGGGGGTGGGGCATTGGGCCTATTACAAAAAGGCTTCTAAAGGGATTCACGCAACATGACCAAACTTCATGACCCACACACACACACACACACACACATACACACATACACACTAATATAATTTTGCCATGTGCCATTTCAAAACTGCCATTTCAAAACTCTCAAACCAGCTTTCATAAGGAGGCATCACTGTACCAGTGACAAATGCAATGCATATGATGTGCATATACAGTTGTAGTTATTGCCAGTTCGCAGTGGTTGAAATATTCATAGTTAATAGGTAAATAAATTTTTAAATAGATTTTTTTAAAAATATTCTTCCATTTCAGTGAGAAAATACCACAAACATGTAGCCCAGATCTTTAGGAATAATACTAAAATTAATTTCTTTTACAACATGTCTTGGCAGTCTTTTTAGATGAAAATTCACATTTGGAATATCTTTAAGTGATTGAAAACAGAATAGTGAAGACAGTTTTGTTCACTGATCTACCACTCTTTTTTCTTTCACAGTTTAGTCATATTTCATGATTATTATGGCCCTTCTGGTGTTGTGATGGGGTAGATGGGGGTTGAGGTGGAGAGATGGTCTGGGCATGGGGTAAGGGAGGAAATATTATGTAAATCTACTATAAACACTAGGGGGTGCAAAATAATGTAAAAGATCATTTTTTTTATAAGCTGTCACTTGGATCATGTAAATGATAATTTCATGTGAGCATTAATGAAGAAAGTACATAATAATAGGCTAATAGTATTGGTTAACTATGACAAAAATTCATTTTCCTATTCTGTTTTTAAACTGATGAATAATGGAATTGTAAAACTGACCAGCTGTTGACCTCTGACCACGTGGAGCCGGCCACCTGTTCCTACTCACAGTAGAAACCGACTGCTGGCCAATCAGAGCTCTTGTTGCTGTTGTGTGGGTCAGCCCTCATTTTATTTTTTTGTGACACCCTGCAAACATTTCTTAAAATAAATCACAGAAGAAATAAAGCAGGATTTCAGTTTTCCAATAGACATTACCTCACATGCACTGTAAACCCCAATCAGCTCACTCAACCAAAAATTGGGAAACATCTCAAAACTTTTAGTTTAATACAATACAGTAGCATAACATTTTTGAGTACACCAGGCACAAAATAAATGTGTGACATGACCTTTGTCTGACAGGAATTTTATGTCAGTGTAACATAAATTTTTGTTGTATAAGCATTTAATTCTTTGTCATATGAACATGAAAACACTGACTGTGTTTACAAGGTCTTTAGTATCCCGGTTTTGAGGCTCATCCCGGCTTTGAGCATATCTGGGATATGATGTTTACATGGAACACAGAGAAACCCGGTTATTCATATCCCTGTATACATGATAAATACCAGTAACCTGTTTTCTGATCACTGCATCCTATCTGCGCAGGCTTGTGTTACGTATTTTACGTCTTTTGTTTACAACAGATTGAGCAGGAAATGTGATATATTTATTATTTTTAGAAGTAAGACAAAAATTAGACCTCTGTGGCTTCTAGCGGGCTTAGCGTTAGTAAATACTCATGTCGCATTACAGCTATGGCTCATCCATTTCATCTTCAGCAATGGGAAGAGAGAGCGACAACAAATATTGAATACGTCACCAACTTTGATAGGTATTCGGCTGTCACTGCCACCACGCAGTACAAGGCAACAGTGGATGAAAATAAGTAGCCGTGACTGGTGCGATAGGATTGTTCTCACGGAGTTTACAGCTTCAGAGTGGAGAGAAAACTTCAGAATGAGTAGGGCATCCTGTGTGTCGTAGTTGAACCATTCATGAAACCTGGATAAGGCCAATCAAAACCGGGATACTAAAGACCTTGAGTGTGTTTACAAGGTCTTTAGTATCCTGGTTTTGATTGTTTTTTTTAAGTATCCCGTTTTTGTGTTTGTGCATGTGAACACCATATCCCGAATTCAGAAACCGGGTTATGCCCTTTTCCCGGTTTCAAGAAACACGGTTTTGCCACCTGCAGTACTCCGATAGAAGCCGGGATACTCGTGCATGTATACGCCTTATCCTGGTCTCCGATGGCTGCCCGCCGTGTGCGCAGGCGCCAGAGTGACGCACCAGATATACAAGCAACATGGCGGCAACGGGCGCTTCCCATTTTTGGAGCGCGAAGAGACTGAATTTTGTATTTTACGTATTTTCATCCACTGTTGCCTTGTACTGCGTGGTGGAAGTGACACCCGAATACCTATCAAAGTTGGTGACGTATTCAATATTTGTTGTCGCTCTCTCCTCCCATTGCTGAAGATGAAGTGGATGAGCCATAGCTGTAATGCGACATGAGTATTTACTAACGCCAAGCCCGCTAGAAGCCACAGAAATATAATTTTTGTCTTACTTCTAAAAATAATAAATATATCACATTTCCCGCTCAATCTGTTGTAAACAAAAGACGTAAAAGACCTAACACACGCCTGCGCAGATAGGATGCAATGATCAGAAAACAGGTTACTGGTATTTATCATGTATAAAGGGATATGAATAACCGGGTTTCTCTGTGTTCCATGCAAACATCATATCCCGGATATGCTCAAAGCCTCAAAACCAGGATACTAAAGACCTTGTAAACACAGTCAAAGAAAACACATTGTACAACTTTTTTTTTTTACCTTCATTGGACTATAAAAATATACTGTGGCATGGTCAGAGTGTTTGATTTGCAACAGTGTGGTCAAAGGAATGATTTCTGCCGCTGGACATGCACTTCATCTCACCTCAGCACAACTCTACATTAGATACTTTAAAAACCACACAGGCAGGAGGTCACTGACTGTGTATAAGACTTAACTCATGGTGCAAAATGTTTTTTACCACAACATTAACTGTAGCCTATTTGAAACATTGTGAAATACATAAACATTAATCACTGTGTAATGGGTAACGTGAGTGATTTAAAACACATTTAAACAATTTTCTTCAGCTTATGGCCTTAAACACATTGTCTCCCAACATGCTGAAAAACTCCACCCATTCAGCCCCAACACACCACAACATAGTAAGTGCACAATGACAGTGTTGTTTATTGGCCTTAAACTAATCAGGTAGTATCAGCTTCATACATTTTAGTCAAATTAACTCAAAACTCAAAATTGTTGACTTAACATAAAAGAAAAACATGTCAAGCTTACAAGAGATGAGTTTTTGTGTCAAGTGAACATAAAGTTTTTATGTCAGTTTGACAATCTGGGGCATTTGTGTAGACTTAACATTAAAATATTGTGTCATAGATGGATTGGGGTTTACAGTGTGGTTTGATGACACTGCCTGACACATCACCCCAAAATCTTACATAAATCTTACTGAGGTACAATTTTGTGGTACACAAAGTACCTCAGAATTGAGTAATTCAATTTTATGCTAGGGCGGCACGGTGGTGTGGTGGTTAGCACTCTCACCTCACAGCAAGAGGGTTGCTGGTTCGATCCCGAGCGTGGGAGCCCTTCTGTGCGAAGTTTGCATCTTCTCCCCGTGTCAGCATGGGTTCTCTCCGGGCACTCCGGCTTCCTCCCACAGTCCAAAGACATGCAGATTGGGGACTAGGTTAATTGATAATTGAATGTGGCTGTTTGTCTCTATGTGTCAGCCCTGCGATAGTCTGGTGACCTGTCCAGGGTGTACCCTGCCTTTCGCCCGATGTCAGCTGGGATAAGCTCCATCCCCCCCGCGACCCTCAAGAGGATGAAATGGTTAGAAGATGAATGAATGAATGAATGAATTTTATGCTACTTTATACTTCAGCACTATATTTTAGTATTAATTTTGTACTTTTCACTCCACTACATTCAGCAGGCATCTATGGATACTTGCACTTTCAAATTTTACATATGTTCAAATAATAGATTATTATGCATTGTTATAAATGAAAATGTCCATATAAAGTATGTAAGTAATATAAATGAGCTTTCTCCACCAGATATTAATGCATTAATAGTAACGATTGAATAATGTGGTTTGGATTAGGTATTAATTTAGGTTAGTGTTAATCTCTGTGTTCATATATTGCCATATGTATGCAAAATATGTAAGTAGCAGGACAGCATTTTGGTATCAGAAGCATTTTCATTTGCTGTCCATTTGTAGTCCAAGTAGTATTGCCGATTCACATTTGAGCGAGCTTTGGTCCAACAGTCCATGTGGAAAGCAAAAGAGGCAGTGGCCAAATGGCTGGTGGCTGGTGCTAATTTCCATAGTTCTGAGATTGAGTTAGCATTACTTCTTATAATAAAGCTTCATCTGTCCCTTC